CTCGACGAATCTCTTCGATGCTTAATGGGCTTAGTACGGTATGCAAACTCGGCAGTTCTTGTAGATGACTCTTTCTTAAAACAAAGGAATTGCGAGGATGACTACGGCGAAATGTACAGCCTTGTTCGCTGCAGATGCTAAGGCCTGAGGGGAGGGAGGGTAGGCTTTGCGCCGCGCCAGCCCAGTCCCTACCAATTGTTGTAGAAAGCAGCCGACAATAATTGGTGGTAAACGGGCCGGCGCCGCGCCAAACGCAACTCCTCTGACACGCTGCAGCATCCGCAGCAAACAAGACTGTGCACTACTGCGTAATACGAAAAAGCGCCATTTTGAAGGGAGAAAACCTACCTGGCGATAGCCAGGGGAGTACGATTGCTTGTTGAAGCAGGCTGTGAGCGTTCTGACCGCATGATGTCAAGCTTCGCTTGGAGAGATTTGATGAACACATTAAGTTTTCGCGGAGCACAGTTCGACAGCTGTATAACCAACTTCCTAGAAAAAGCAGTTTTGGTATCAAAGAAAAAATGAAAAAAAACCGATAAAGTCAGTTATAGTACGCCATCAAAACAAATGTTGGATTGGGTCCTTATGATGTATCATAATTCAATTGAGGCGGCGTTCATACTCCGCGGCAGGAGAATAAGCGGATAGGAGAATCGGCGATTCGACGTTCTGGATGATGGCGTATTCATCCAAAATGCTGAGTCGCCGATTCTCGCATTCTTCCAGAATGGAGGCTAACGGTCAGGTAATCCCAAAATCACACGATTCACACTCACCAAAGCCACGTACCTGCTTGGGACTTCTATAGATCCCCTTCCCTGAGCAACATTAGTCCTGTGAATGACACAATCAATCAAACTGTACGAGGCAACTGCCGGTCGACCTCCAGAGACTCCGCCCAATTCCACTTGTAGCACGATTTCCCTAATGATTTGTGATTACACTCCATTCAGACTCAGCCAACGAATCTCAGCCTTGCTTGCTGCGTAAGCTAGGCCGTGTCAGGGGTGGAGTGAGGGGGTTGGCGAGGTGCCAACCAGTTTTCCACCAACTGTGGTCGACCACCAGCTTCCAAGATTGGTGGAAAAGGACTGACGCTGAGCCAAAGCTAGCCCCTCCTCCCCCTCTGACATGCCCCAGCATCTGTAGCGATCAAGACTGTAGTTTACCTTGCCAAATTCCTTCCGATGGTGAGTGTAGCATTCTTTGATGATACTGCACCTTGACGATTGACGTTTAATAGGGATTCTATCCGTACGGTACAATGGAGCGAGTAACAGTATGTGCAGTTTTCAACTTGTGAGGCATCACTGAAAACCATCTGCAATGAATAGTTGGAAAAGTATCACAGGATACAATATTCGATCTGGTAGTAAAATGGGCGAGATAAACTTCATCAAAGAAACTGCGGGAATGCATCCGAAACTGCATAGGGGCGCAAATACCACTGATTTTGAGTGACACATTGAGAACGGTACCGAAATATCGCCTTTATCAGAAGAAAACACTACGCAACTATCTGTAGAGCAGGAAATGAAAACATCAGAAAGCGCGAAAAAATCTGAAAAAAGGATGAAAGCCACCGACTATTACGATCGCGATGGTACCCCTACCGGCCTTCTATGATGATGAAACCGCGCTTGGGGGAATCACTGCTTCTAAACTGTGATAATATCTGGGGTCCGTCCCTCGAAAGACCCCATATTTAATTATTAACAAGAGGTTACAGGTAAAAGAGTTTTAAATTGCTGCGCGTCCGTGATTAGTTGTGAATTCTGCCGTGTTCTGTGCAAGTACACATTGAGCACCTTTAAAATGACGCCAAACAATACCGTGCCCTAATGCACTGGGCTTGGATGGCGGCTTGGCGCTCAGGTTTGTGAGGCTGTGATTTTTGTTCCTTCCCTAACCAGAGCTCAAACTCAAAGCGCAAAGATTGGAGCCTTGGGCTGCTTCCTAAAACAGGCGACAGTCCCCATACAGCTCTGGTCGCTCCAAGCATCGACCTTCGTTCAGGAAGGAGATAATAAATGTAGTGCCCCTCCCCTTACCACAAATACACAAGGACAAGCTACCTACTGAAACTGTTCTACAGTTATCATCGGGTGTTCGTGGTGCGTGCATTTAGTGACCGAAGGAACTAGGGGGGGGAGGAGCGTCAGGGAGTGGAGAGGGGGGCAGGGCACATCGTCGTTGGGGCCGCCAGGAGAGGGGGATCGTATTTTGGTTAAGAAAAGTTAATTTTGTGAGTTGGTTTTTCTCGCCTCACGGACGTTGGAGGGAGGGGGTCGTATTCTAGGAGTGGTGGTTAATCACTTTTGGTGATTTTCCCGTTTCATGCGTAGTATAGACTCCAGCCCCGCGCTCACGGCTCGATTCGATGAGGAGGTGAGGAGGGGCAGAGGGCCAGAAGGGGGGAGGGTCGTACCAACCCTCAAAAAAAGGGTGGGGGTCGTACAGACTCGACTAAAATCCCCAACGGATGTGCCCTGGGAGGGGGTATGTCATAGGCGCAGAGTTAGCAGCAAAAAGCAGCCTAGTGGTAATTAAAGATAGGGCATGAGGAGAATCCTATCAGAATCAGTCATCGCGTGGGCTCGCTGAGAACGATAGGGTATGGAAGCGTCGGGAAAACACATTGTGGGAAACCTTAATGCGTGGAAAATGGTTGCGAAACGAACTTCTAGGTATCACAGAATCGGCTTTCCATAAATGTCGGCATCAGAAAGATGTAATAATTCAGTATGGTTCCTTAGTCTCCCGAGATATGTAAATATGGTTTATTGTGCTAACGTTTCGGCAAGCATCGCCTTCCTCAGAGCCTTCTGACTATTAGAAATTCTAACGGGCACTCTCAGCTCTCAGTAAGTACCCGGTAAAACTTCTACCCTTTAAGAGGCTCCGAAGAAGGGGATGTTCGCCGAAAATTCGGCACAATAAACCATCTGTACAAATCTCGGGAGGTTGAGGAATCATACGTAACTTCTGGGTTTCTAAGTGAGATATCATGCAGCTGCGGCCGACGTGAGTCCCTCGAAAATATTTCGTGCTACTGTACTGCACTATATCAAAAAATAGTACATCTGAACACCGAATATTGCTGCCCTGAAGCTTTCGACTGTTTTCTGAAGCTTTTCAACCAAGACAGCCTTCATCAGAAATCCTGACTTTATATTGACATGGTAACACGACAACACACTACAAATAAGATTAGGTGGAGACTAATAAAACAGTTGGCTAATTCCTGCAGTAGCATCTACCTCTACATATACTTCGTACATACATACATACACATATACACATACATACATATGCTCGTATGGAGCGTGTGACAGAAACGAATTCGGAGACGGTATGGAGATTTCTCATGTTCTTCTTCCTCTTCATCTCCCTAGCGTTAATCACACACCGTCGTGTGGTCCGCTGCTCTTGTTAGACGTCGCCACTTTCGAAATGTTTTGTATGATGTATACATAATTATAAAAATGCCTCTACCACGCTAGATAAAGCCGGAGGTATCTCTAGACCTCAAAGCTGGGAAGTACATGGCACACAAGTACAGTTGAACCGATGTGCTGTGGTATTCTGTTTGCAGTGACCAGCTTTCTTCTACTTTTTTTTACAGACTCGGTACAGTAACAAAAAGTAATCTCAAAAACAGCCTATGTATTTACTAAAATTCGTTCCCACGAGTAGATTTGGTCACCGGTCTGCACCACGCACTCCCAGCTTCGAGGTTCAGAAGATCTCTGTTTCACTACCCGAAAGCTACTATGCAACATATTGGATCAAAGGAATATGAAAAGATGCACCGGTCGGTTCTGTTATTGCAGAATGACCCAACTTTTCAGCGCCACTCTCAAGAAAGCAAGGGTCAACTGGAATGGGAAGATATGGAAGTGAAGGAAAACGACCGACAGTCCACAAGCAATGAACAGCAACAGCAACAATTGTCTTCAGAAAAAGGGAACTTAGAGAGAAACAAATCCATTGCACATGTGATTAGTGATAAGATATAATTTTTACACTATTGTTAGTTGATGTGACATCGGACATGTCAACAAAAACATGTAGACATGTTTCAGAAAAAAACAAAAATGGAAAAAAGGGAAGAAACCTTGATAATTCTCTTTCTTTACGTTCGATACAAGTCACGGAGCCGTTTTAAAGACACATGGTACGATCACACATAGTTTGGGTGTGCGTGACTAACAGCCCCCAGCTGTCGAAGCGTAGCGGTTTCCCCGTCCTAACATGCGCAGGAATGGAGATACAGGACCGTGAAACACGCTAATTCCTCCATGCTCCGCCCAATGCCTTTTGCGGCGCAGACTCCCGTTCATGCTAACAGCCGTCGTGTGCGCGCGTGTCGCGTGCAGCTCTCTTGGCACTTTGCCAAGTCCTGTAATTGCGCTTTGGAATACAAGTAAAACGCAATTTCCTGATGCGGATAACATTTTAGGTGCTGCAAAATAAGAACCGAAGATGATGACGAGGGCCAGAACTCAAGAGCAACTGTGCTGCTTCTGCAATATCCCTCGGAGGCCGCGCATTTCCACGAAACATGAAAATAAAAACGCCCACTCGTTAGTTTAATACAAGCAAAACGCAATTTCCTGATGCGAATAACATTTGAGGTGTTGCTCATGCTTCAAAGTCCGAATAGAAGGTGATGAAGATGACAAAGGCTAGAAATGAAGAACAACGAATGTAGATGTAAATAAAACAAAATTGAAAAAAACTAAGGAAACGCAATTAATTAAAATCGCGTGTAAATTTCTGCGATCCGGCGCGAATCCGGCTCCAAAGCCATAGAAATACTTTAAACTAACGAGTGGGACGCTTAGGCCGTTTTTGTTCATGTTTTGTGGGAATGCGCGGCCTCCGAGGGATATTGCAGAAGCAGCACAGTTGCTCTTGAGTTCTGGCCCTCGTCATCATCTTCGGTTCTTATTTTGCAGCACCTAAAATGTTATCCGCATCAGGAAATTGCGTTTTACTTGTATTCCAAAGCGCAATTACAGGACTTGGCAAAGTGCCAAGAAGCCGCACGCGACACGCGCGCACACGACGGCTGTTAGCATGAACGGGAGTCTGCGCCGCAAAAAGGCATTGGGCGGAGCATGGAGGAATTAGCGTGTTTCACGGTCCTGTATCTCCATTCCTGCGCATGTTAGGACGGGGAAACCGCTACGCTTCGACAGCTTGAGGCTGTTAGTCACGCACACCCAAACTATACACAATCGTTAAAGGCTCCTGAGAGGGTAGAAGGCTCGGTTGGCCAAGGCGAAAGTTGAACCAGTAGGTTTACAGAAGTGAAAAAGGAAGAAGAGGGAGGTCAAAGTCTCGGGTCACTCTCGTGAGTCAGCTGCATAATTTCGACATTGCAAGGAAGTTGAGGCGAAGCAAAGCCGAAATACCACGCCGATGAAGACATGACCATTCAAAGAGGTCTTTGACAGCCACCAACTGAAAAAGAAAATTGAATTTATTACATGTATGCACTTGAGAGGGTACAAAATAGCTTCACTCATAAACTATGATTAGTCAGAAATGCCGAATGCCCAAACAGGAATAAACTCCTACGGTTATCATCTCTGGAGTCCAGACGGAATGTTTTCGATCTTTGTCTAGTTCACAAGCTTATTAAAAGATCGCGTGGGTCTGGTTCCAGTAATGTCTTCAGAATGGTTCATTCGAACACTAGAGGTGGTCCCATGAAGATCTATTTGTCAAAACCAAGACTAATTTACGTGCCAAGAGCTTCACCTTCAGGGCGGGCAGCGCGTATTTGAAGTTAACAAAAGCCATACCTGCCACTTTGTCACATGCTCAGTTCAGACACCGTATTTCCAAAAGGTTATTCAAGGTATGGTGGGTCTAGCTCTCCTGAGACTGGTCGATAATTTGGTGCTGGTTAATTGCAAATCGAAAACACTAATTAACCAATTTTTTGCTGGTTAATTAGTGTTTTCGAAAAATTGTAACTAACTTATCAATATTGGAACTTGTATACGTAATGTGTTCCGATGTTTTTTTTCTCACGTATGCCTTATGCACACGTAATAAACTTAAACTTAATTTGAAAGTACACTAGGGAAAATGAGTCCAATTGTTAGAGGATGTAAAGAATGACCTTTGCAAACAATGGGGCGTATGAGAAATGTGAATCAGAGCGCAGCCAAAATAATTCGTGCCAGTTTTTGCGGATTCAGGACAGCATTAATGGAGGGCAAGGCAGCCTTGACAGAGCTACTGTCCAAATCGCTTCGCACGCCCTATCGCCTGCATGGATCATGACTGCATCATTCCAATTCCAGGAAACATCTTCATCTACAGCCCTTCACCCCCCCCCCTCTCGTTCTCAATAGATGCATTCGACTGGAATTCCATCCACAGGACAGTTCGAGCCAATGCACATAAATATGTTGACCGCTTGAACCGAAACAGCTTGATGCCCACAGCACGCTCACACCTACCAATCTGATCTGATCTTCAAATAGAAGCTGCTGGCACAGCCTTCCCGCATCGTCGATATTTCTATCCGAATCCATTCCAGGCTCATAATAACAGAGAACTTTCTCTGGGATACTCTTCCATGTCCCACTTTCCTTCGTTGAAAAAGTGTATACAATGGTCTGAAAAAGATTATTACATGCATTTTCGTCGACGACATTATGCTATTCTTGTCTGCTGGCAACAATGCACTTAACCTGCGACTGTGGCACAAAAGCCGGTGAGCTTTTGTGGGGGGGGGAGGGGGGTAAGAGGTCTTGGTGGCGTAAAGAATAGCGCATTGGTCCGGAAAGGGCGCGCACGCTATTCTTTACGCTACCAAGGCGCGCACTCTAATCCCGCCTGAGGTTAAGACCTTTGCTCGGAGCACAAACTGCGGCGTTAACTAGTTATCATGATACAAATTAACCCATTGCGTACCGCTGCTGCACCATGTGCAGCACGCTCGTTTGTCTCTGTATGGCCGCGTAGATTTGTGCGACTTCCCCCTCAATTCTGTAATCGCGGTAGGTCTGTTTTGTAAAGCAGCGGAGCTGAGCTTCTCGATTGCATTACATTACTAAACGTTCTTGCATTATTTTGCTGGCTCTCTTCAAATGTTGCGGAGGTGGTGTAGTGACAAGTGGCGCGCTTACCACTCGCGCGGTCCTGGGTTCGAATCCCAGGTCGACACCCGCCCAGGCCAACCAAGCCTTCTACCCTCCGGGGACGGTAAATTGGTACCAGATTCGTCTGGGAGGATAAACACTGACTTGTACATCGGCTGGCCACCGCAAGTCATTGTATAGGCCACATCGCATTCAATAAGCCACTACGATTCTGAATGGAAGTAGAATGCGTGCCGCATCCCACAAAGGGATTGATCAACGGCGAAGACTTTATCCTTTTTTATCCTTTCAAATGTTACTGCTTTCGGTATTCCTGCTCAATATCTCCTCCGGTTACTCAACGCCTCGGGAAGAGGCTGAACGGATTGCTCTTCTGCGTTCTTCTCAGCGTGGGATCACTATCACAGTGAGAGGGCGCATAGGGACAAAATTAGTTGGGTCTCAAGATTCCATCAGTCGCGGAGCTCTCCTCCTCCTCATTTTCCTTCCTCCTTCCATCTTCTTTCATTCCTCTTCCTAGTCGACAATTTAGTGCGTTCCATCTTCAAAACTTCAAACCTGAGTAAGTCACATACCATGTCCTGATTTCTGCCAAAGAAGATCGGTGTCAACATTCGCTTGGATGCCTGTGTGAACGCGGTAGGCAATGTGGATGTTGCCTAAAAAAGGAAGTGGCATGGGTTTGAATAATTGTAGTAATACCAGCAGTAAATGCTCACCCCGGCTGACTTGAAGGTCGAAGATGCAGAAAACTGCCACTCATCCCTACTATCGTAGTATCCCGAGCTCACCAGCAACGCGTCCACCTGAATCAATTAAAGGCTCAAAGTCTTAGACAAAGTCACAACCTACCACGAAAACAGAACACAGCGAAAACAGTGAGGTATGTTCAACGAAAAATAGACACTAAAATGATCGTGAAGATAAACAGTACCTTGTCAACCTGTGCTCTAATTTCGTCTATAATGTGACGTCCTTCGCTATTATCGATGAACTGGATTAGTTTGAGATTCAAGAGCACATTAAGGGCTTCCACATCATCTACCTAGAAGATGCACGGAGAATTAAATCAGTAGCCACTTGACTTTGAGACATAACACGCGATTATCCGATGCTGCGGAGAGGCTATCGGTATCGCCTAGATGTAAAGTCTAGTACTAAGTACAGTGGAGCGCTCACCGGACGGTGGGGCGTTCCCTACGACCACGCTGGCGAGCGTTCCGTGATTGCGTGTCGATGGAAACGCGAAATTTTCAAGATTATCATCATTGCCTCTCCGTCTCTGATGCTGACTCTGCGCTCTAACACACGCCGCCGCACCGTCTACTCACTCTTCCGCTCTGGACTCTTACCGATCGATAATTGCTCTCGATCAGCTGATTCCTGCCGCATTTTCGCAGTATTTTTGCTAGATTCAGCTTGTTAAAGCTGAAATTTTTCGACTTTTGACTTCAATGTTCGAAGGTGAGTATTCTTACTGAAATTATATCACATTTTGCATGAATTTAGCATGGCTTACCCTAGAAAACTTGTTTTTCCTTCTGATTTTTGCAATTTTTCCAAATTTTTCCTTAATATCCCCATTTATTTTATGATATTGACCGAGTTTTCAAAGCAGTGTCTCAGATGTGATCTCGTTATTATCGAGAACCATCTCTGACACTTTTTTGAAGCTCGAAGTTGCCTTAATGGTTCGCCTTCCCATGCTAAAATTCCCAATTTCAGTTTTTTTTTCTTTCACAATTTCATTTCATGCTAAACTCATGCAAAATGTGATACAGTTTCGGTAAGAATACTCACCTTCGAACAATGAAGTCGAAATTCGAAAAATTCAGCTTTAGCAAGCTGAATGTAGCAAAAATACTGCGAAAATGCGGCAGGAATCAGCTGATCGAGAGCAATTATCGATCGGCGAGAGTACAGAACGGAAGAGTGAGTAGATTGTGGCGGCGTGTTTAGAGCGCAGAGTCAGTATCAGAGACGCAGAGGCAAAGTTTTCCACCAACAGGCAACTATCGGGCCGTTCGCCAGCGTGGCCTTAGGACCGCCCCACCGTCCGCTGAGAACTGCACTGTAAACATGCACCATTGTTGCAGCGAAAAATGGCCTAGGGAAGACGTCATCGTATCCCTGCTACAAAAGATGCTTCATACTGCGTTCATACCCTGCGACATTAGAAGACAGGAAAATCGCTGAACAGGGGAAGCCGAATAGTCGGTGAAAAGGAAAATATACGTATCGATCTAGAGAACTGAAGCACTGGAGAATCTGCGAGTTAGAGGAAGCACGGATAGGCGACTCCTCGGAATAAATCGATACGTATCCAATCTTTGTTTTCGCGTTCTCCCACTCGCCGATTCTTTTATTCCCCTACTCTTTAGGACCGTTTTGCCTTTTCCCGATCGCGTCGTCGCGGTAACCGAAGCTAGCGACTGCTAGATAAAAAATGATAAGGATTTCAATTCCAAAAGTGACGTGATGGTGAAGAGGGCTTGAATCATTGTGGTAACAACAAGTAAGAGCCCATCTCGTACTCTATTCGCCCTTGCTAAACATGGTTTGAGGTGGACGGGTGTGAATAGGGAGTCTCAATAGGAGTACTTCCGACGGTTTTTTATCTGCTTTTTTTTCTCGTTGTCATTTATTGATCTTCTTCACACTGATGTTCGAATCACAGTAACCTCTATTCGATAGTTGTACCACAGCAACCTCTATTTATATAGTACTCCTTATTTGAATCGTAAAATGTGCCATAACATTACCTTGCTCCGTAAATCGTTGAATGATGCATCGCGATAATACGCAGGAAGAAGAACGATGACCTGTAAGAAAAAAAGGTGCAGTTTCAGAAATTAAATGCTTGAACAAGATGAGAGATTCGTCTCAAATGATCTACGGGGTGCAGATTGACGGAAGTGACGAAGTGCGCTGCGCATTCACACATTTCCGGGGTTCATAGGTTTCCGGGCCGAATCCAGCGGCCTCACCACCAACTGTGGTCGCCTTTCAGCTTCCACAGTTGGTGGAAAATGTCCTCGCGCCGCACCAAGAAAACCTAGCCTATCTGACACGCCAAAGCATCCGTAGCGAACAAGACTACTTGCATATCTGGATACGACTTCGCTGTACAGAAATGGTAACAGCTCGAAAAGCTTTCGCTATTGATCAAGCTCTCGTTGGAAAACACAATGCATCTAACTTTCATTCAGAATCGTACTGTCATTTTGAACGCGATTTGGCCATGGGCCTATAATGACTTGCGCCGGTAACCAATGCGCAAACCAGTTTTTCATTATCACAAAAAATGACATCAGTTTGCCGAGCACTGACCAGAGACCGCCAACTTACCATGGAACTTTGAATGGAGACCTGGGTAGATCGATAGAGTCTATAAGGTTATTTACAAATATAGATAGCAAAACTGCAACCTGCATTTCACAAGCAACTTATGAGCAGGTAAAGTTTGTAATGGTGCAGTAGGGTGGAGGCTTGGTGAGCTGTGAAGCATAAGCGAGGAATCGCATACGTCGAATCGAGTCGTGGTGGTTCAGTGGTAAGGTTCGACGACGATTCGACGTATGCGATTCCTCGCTTATGCTTCACAGCTCACCACCAAGCCTCCACCCTACTGCACCATTACAAACTTTACCTGCTCATAAGTTGCTTGTGAAATGCAGGTTGCAGTTTTGCTATCTATATTTGTAAATAACCTTATAGACTCTATCGATCTACCCAGGTCTCCATTCAAAGTTCCATGGTAATTGGCGGACTTCCCTGGTGAGGGATGTAAAGCATGTAGAGTTTGAAATCCTCGATCACCTTATTCAGCTCGACTCTGAGGAAGGTGATCGAGGATTTCAATGCCAGACCTTGCGCCTGATGAGAGGCGCCACCGCAACTAGACCACTTCCACCTCAAGGAAAAAAAATAACAATTTAGAAATAGGTAGCACGGAACCCACTTTGTGACCACGCAGCAGAAACTCCACCAAACACTGGTAAATTGGCTTAATGGAAAGAACTTTGCACGGAGCCCAAGCAAGTTTCTTGATGTCTTTAATTCTTCCCCAGTACACGGAATACTCTTTGTCGAAGCATCCAGACACAGCACATCCGTCTGGAAACAAGATTACTATACGAGAAATAAGTCATGGAACGATTCCTGAATGAATAATAAGCTGTGAATTCCAGTTGCATCGTCAATGAAATGAATCCCATTGAAGTAGAAAAAAATATGTTTAAAAGACTATGAATACCTATTATGACCGGCCTCAACAGACGATTTGTTGGTCTTGAAGAAAGTGTGGGAGGAAATTCGAACAAGTCCACAATCACCGAGAGAGCGCCTGAAAGCACCCCTATGGAACAGTATCCGATAACCTTCAAAAGCCTTGATATGCTTCAAATAAAACAAAGCTCTAAAGTATTGCAGAAGTGTAGAAGCTCCTAGCACGTGAAGAAAAAAAACTATAAAAGAGATACAGCCGTAGTGGTGAGAGATACATTTGAAGTGAAGCGAAAATTGGTATGAAAACTGAAACATGAATGGGAAGAATGTCGACTTCCTGGACTCGAACAAGGTGAAATAACCGACGGCGTTAGGCAAAAGTCTGAAGGGATTGAAAAAGGGAAACCAAGGCGCTACACCACTCAGAGGGATGGGCAAATTGGTAAACTCCTATCAACATACCGGGTGAGCATATGAGCGATATGATAAGCAAAGGAATGATACCAGTTTCATTTTTACGTCCAGGTACAGTTGATAAGTTCGCAATCAGTCGAGGCTGCTTCACAGAGATGGACTCAGCCACCCGCGGCGTTTCCACCCGATTGTTTTCTTTGAAAAAAGTACAGTAACCAATTCTACTGGTAGAGCAAGGAAGTCGGAAGCAGGCTTATTCCGCTCCTCCCGACTCCTTTTGAAGCTTATAATACGTTTCTGTCACTGCTCGGTATGCCGACAGGAGTTTACATAAATGCCCCTCCCTTAAAGTGGACTTGCCCCAGAAATAATGAAAACAAAGCATCACACCTGATGAGAGATTTGTACTCGAAAAGAACTTATGGACGATGTTGTGCAGAAGATCATCCACATGCTTAGTGTCACCACGACGCCGCACTTCACTGCATACCTGAAAATTGGACCGATCCTTTACAGCACGAAAGGCTCTACCACGCGCAGAAAAATTAGAGAAAAATTTTTAGATGAAAGCAATCAGCGATGTATGCCAAAATATGACATGGTGTGTCGAACAACCCGTCTAATACAATTCCATATCTTATGCTTAGGGGGAAAAAGGGGCGTAGCTGCGTATGCCGGGACGATTGTGAGGGTTTAGGAGGTAAAGATCTGTGAGTAAAAGCGCTCAGACTAGGCAATCCAGTTCGTTTGAATCGCGCGATCAAACACTCGAGCGTTCAATCGCGAATGTCTGAATGAGCTTAGCGATAGGAGTCGGCACGGGAAAGGTAGGCATCGATGGTACACCCTTTTTGCCCTCGGATAAAGACTGCAATTCAGCAACAGCAGAAAACACAAACTGATGATGTGATACATACCATGCCGGCATCAAGATCCGCAATCACGAAATTATCGATGAGAACAGAGGAAACACAGCTGGGTCGAAGTGGGAGATAACATTCCCCTTTCATGAAAAAAAATCGAAAGAACATGCAAATTAGCAACATTCTAAAATCAGTCTGCGGCTACACCCATAGTCCCCTCAAAAACGACAGACCTTATCGCTACTTCGTAGAATTATTTTCGCTTGGAAAAACAGGCGTTGCCCACTTCTTAAGATTCGGCATTCATCGCAGTTTTGCTAGAAACGAAGAAAATTATGGTTATATTCGCGGGTAAAGGCTACCTTGAAAGGTAAACGTAAACAACTGAACATGCGCACCAGAACCTAACCAGTACAGATCTCATGTTTTCTAGCTAGGAACTAATCTCGGCAACATACAGTGAATGTCGCGCCCCACACCCAAAAAATCAGATATGTATGATAAAGTACATCCTCGCAGTGTTCACCAATAAGGAGGGAGGTCGTATTCGGCGTTGAGAAGTTGAGAAGATATTTTAGAGTTGTGGTTTTTTTCTCCACTGCAAAACCATACCCTCTCCCAACCTTGCACAATTCTAGGTTAAAAATCCCTAAGAGGGATAGTACCCATTAATGAGGTTTGTCAGGGTCTTGGGCGTTAGGCTGTGAAAGGTGATCATCCCAAGACTCCCATTTGGGAGGAGGGGAGGGAGGAGAGGGTAAAGGTTGGTGGGATCGTACTGGAACCATCGTTGTACTTACACATCCTGTGGTGCTCCTTACGTCCTAACGAGGTTATTCCGTTGTTGAGGTACCGAGCTGATCATTGAAAAAACGCCGTAAAAACCCGTGCGGCTTGGAAAGTCCATCACATCTCGGTGTTGGGAGAATCCCATCAGGGGTCGTAGTTAGTAGTTTGGAAGGGGATGAGGTTCTATCTGCCTTCGAGTGAGATGTTCCTGAGCAGCGATAAAAATATCCTGATTGTTGGTTTTCGGCGGTTTTCTTCCGATTCCTGTACTCACTTCCTGCTCAACGGCAGCTTTTCAGGGGAAAACTGGAAAATTTCGGAAAACTGCCGAAAAATGGTAGGAAGGTGGAAAAACTCAAAAAGATGATAGACAACATGGAAGGAAGGGGGGGGGGAGAGGAATCGTCCCTGAGGAAGAAATTTGCAGCGGAGAATCGTGCGATACCGTCATTTCTCCCATCCCGGTGTGTATCCTGCGACTAATTATTCTCAACCCGTAATCATAAGTCACACTATTCGATAACTGTTCCTGTCTATGCTGCAATACAGAATAGCACACGGAAACATGAAACAATGTTAACAAACCTCATCGTCACTGTCAGGACCAAGCAGCTGCCGACAGACGTTCACAAAATCCATTTTGCTAACCATCCGTCGATTTCGTGGAATATTGTTCGAGTAGTTTTTGTACACCAGATTTTGAGACTAAAATCTAGGAAACTTTCATGAGCGCTGCAAACTTGGAGCAGAGTAAAAGGAACAGGGAAAAACTTTCCGCTTTCAATACCGATTGCTGGGTAGCATCTTCTCGTCGTGGCTTTTCCGCAGAAGACTCAGCGGGACGTGTCCTCGATTCCACATCTCTTCTACGCTGTTCGTTCTAAAAATAAAAGCCTATGTCATTTTGACTTCAGCATTTTATACCTCTTTTTCGGGACCCTATACAACCATTACTACATCAATCTTCCGAAATCTGGCCAGTTTCTCACCGGCAGCAACAGGTCGCAGAAGATTCCACGATAAACAGTGCATATTAGGAAACTGCGTAACTTAACCCAAAATTTGGCGATTGCAAATGGGAGCATTATATGAAATCCAATGTTAGGCATTTAACTCTATTCATACTGGGAAAAGAAAGGGTCTCAGGGAAAAGCGTATCAAAGAGCTTAACGTGTTATGAGACGCGCTCCTCCTTCCGATTAGGTCGTATTGCTGGCCAGAGACAGAAATTTGTCCAGCGAGAATAGCTAAGGTCTTCTGGATGTCGAAAGAAAAAACCCAGACCAACAGAGAGTGCCCTTTAATTGCAAGAGACTCTTACCGTTGGTACAATTGTGAGCTCTAGAATCGGACAGCGCGGTATCTCAACCTTCGAATAGCTTTTTACGGGAAGAAATGCCGTATTCTATTAGAATAACTACGGCTTTTGTGTGAACGCAGACCGTCGTGTCCGTCCCTCTCAGGATTCATGAACACGATGTCGTAACCGCTAGAGTTGACGAGGCGTTTTAGCTGGTCAGAAGTAGGTAGTCTTTGATCATTTAAAGTCTGCTGGAACGCCGATATCAAGTCGCACCTGACAACCCCTACGTAAAAGCCAAATAAGTTAGGAACTACAACTAACATGCCGAAGTTGCGAAAAGAGGGAGCTCTTATCAGTGTCTCAAGGAGATAGCGGAATTTGGAGAAGTAGCGCAGTTTACTGATAAGGGAGTTCACAGCCGCCCGTTCTATCAGTATATCACGACACTAAAACTATAAAAAGGATGAAATCTTCGTTGCTGATCAAGTCCCATTTTTTTCGAGCGGTCCACGCTTCTATTTATGTAGAAGACCTGGAACTATCATACGCACCGCTGCAGCAAGAAGCTGGGTTGGTTGGACAGAACCAACGCTGGATCTGACTCGGCGCGCGAAATGTATCGCACGTGCTACACACCATATTTCGCCAGCATTATGCCACTATACAATAGCGAACTGGTTTTTCGTTAACCTTGTTTCAGGTGGATCGTCCTACTTGTTGTCCGGACTCTGTATCCGTCGTGATAATAAACGTTCTTAAGCCGGAGTGTGGCAGAGGTTTTCATTTTTTTCATTTCAGAGACAGGTTACACGAGAACAACCGCATGGAGAAAACTAGTTGTGAAAAACTTACATTATCTGAAGTTTCTCTGCGTTGCATATAACGAGAAGGTGGAACTTTCTTCTTTTGGTTTTCCATAACGGCATCCCATTCCGAGTCGCTAGCTTCTCGAAATCGTAGAATTTGCCCTTCTTCCCCTTTGGGAAGGACAATTACATTGCCCGAAGGTGGTGGGCCGGATGGAAACCCAGCCCCGAATAACACACCCCCTGTGAAAGGTTTGCCGTGACTGTCTTCTGATGATTCCCTTGACAACGACGGAGTATTTGTCGTTGTAGGGATTTTGTTTTCATTGCTTGCTTGCTGTTGCGATGGTAGCGCGGAAATCAGAATCCGGCGTTACGAGTCGTTTTTCACCGGTTGCATTTTGTCCGATGGACGTCTGGCAATCAGCCCATTCCTCGGAATCATCGCCTGTTTGAGATATGCCGTCTGAGCTAGTTGTTTCACTAGAACTCAAACGGTCGCCCATAGACAGCTCCGCCGGCATTTCTCAATAGGACGTCCAATAAACAGGGTACAGGTTGGACAGAAACGTGAAATACTCCTCCCACCAACTCCAGACTCCTTGCTCCTGGTTTCTAAAAGCATTCGTTTTCATATAAAGTCCTGAAGATCGAGCAACACCTTACAGTCCAGTTCCCTGCAGAAGATGAGGCGTGTGAGTGCGGCTGCGTTTGGCGCGGCACCAAACCCGTTTTCCACCAGCTGTTGAAGCGAGCAAGCGACAGGACTGTAGCATTTCGTTCACATAAATCATTTCCCAGCTCTTTCAACAACTTGTGGGAAAAAGATTTGGCGCCGCGCCCAAAGCGGCCGCGCTGACACGCCCTATCATCCACAGCGAACAAGACAGCAGTAGTGCCGACAACTCGAAAATTTACCGCTGGCAGCACGTACCAAGCAGGTCCAAGCACACTATTTTGTTGCTTGGATGTTTTTATCCTCCCAGACAAATCTGATCCCTAGCGGATCACGAATACTAGAATCTTCTTCACCACACGGCAGATTCGATCCAAGGGGATCGTGCAGTTGTGAAGCTGAGGTTTGTAAGCTGCTGAGGTTTGTAAGCTGTATTCCAATATACATAATCGGAACCGTTCAGATTCCTGGACCCCTCTTTCCAGTGGGTGTGTAACAAGGCAATCGTAATTCGCAGCGTTGAGGGGTGGGAGGGGGATGGGGTCACACCTGCAAACGAAGATTGTTTCTAGACCGTGGAAGGCGACAGCAAACAATGAATAGCCAAAAATGAACGCGAACATAAACACTGTCGTAGTCTACCCAAGATCCACCGCTCCAAAACGGCAGGCTATTACAAATAAACATCGCGCGCGACGCAGCGGCAAATTACGATTGTCTTGACCGTCTCCTCTTTTCAGTAAAAATAAACACATCACAACCCAGTCAGAAGCATTTAACTGCATGGTATCGGGAGATTATAGAAGACGAGAAAGATTTATTGTAAATAAACGAAGAACACATGGGTTGGGCAACAACAGTTACAACACACGTCAAAAATCAAAGTATGAACAAGTAAGTCTTCAAGAGTCATTATCAGCGTCAAATCATCACACAACCTAACATACAACGAACGTGTGTTGCACCTGCAAATAAACAATGTTAACAGTAAATAAGAGGGAAGTTTTGGCATAGTCAGCAGTTTTTGGAATACGTTGCCACGCTTTTCTTATTTTCACATCCCCATTCACTGCGGCTACAGTTTGGATACAATTTGGCTTACACTATGACTTTCGAGGGCTACTAAAAGGTTTTTATCTCCCGGAACATTCCTGGTACTCCTTAACCTCCTAATGGACACAGAGGCCTGGCTGTTTCAAGCGACTGTGAACCGAATGTTGATAAGGCAGCGTCATCTGCAATCACCTATCCATTCCACTAGCGAAACAATCAACGACTAAAAGCTTGAGCGCAAGGAGAGATCCTAAGGAGGACTCAGCGCAGTTCGCCCTTGTAGCGGCATTTCGCTGGACTCCCATCGACCTACCGATTCCCTGTGGAGACTTGTAGACATCTGTAAAACTATGCAGCTGCATGAGCTAGGTTTAGACTTGACAAGTCTACAGGCCTCACCAAGAAGAGATTTGCAAGTTGACAGGAGCTAGCAAGAGAACTAGCCAGAGTAAAAAAAATCTTCCTAAGCCCGAATAGCGTCCAATTTTATAATTTTTAATCCTAGTTAAAAGTTAGACAAACGCCGGAGTAAAAGCCAGAGTAATTTCTCTGGGATTTCCCGCAACGCAGGATCGGAGCTCTAGGACTTACTCGAGGAAACGTGACTCAACGACTTGGCTGAGGTGAGAAACAGCGAATTTCAACACTGATCAAAATAGAAGCAGAGCGGAGAATACCCGGACACGTTCAGGGGGGGGGGGGGGGGGGGGGGGGGGGGGGGGGGGGCGGGGGGGTGGGGATAGACACAACAGAATGAAAGAATCAAGGCTCGCTCTGCATCTATAGAGTCAAAAAAAGCTTTCATAACAGCAGTAAAGGCACTATTTACCTACAATTAGGATTTCCTTCATACACTAAGGAGGTACACCCTACAAGGTTAAAACGCATTTATCTGTTAAGCAAGTGAAACATTTGACAGCGATAGTGTACCTTCCCCAAACCAAGGTCAGGCTTATTGGAGCTGATGCCTCTCCAATCGACGCTATTGTGGTACTTCTGGGCGTTGTAGGCCTTTTAAAAGAAAGTTTGAATTGAACTGACTGCCACTAAGAAGCATGTAAAACAATGATTCGTTTCTCTTCTCTTTCAGACGAATACTTTCAACGCCAAACCCCCTGAGGCTCACCAGTGAAGGGGTTTTACGTTGAAAATGGTGAATGGCAGATGTGTTTCTCAGTAAAAACCATAATTAGACGGTGTAAAGTAAGCATTCTCTAAAAGGATTCAAGACTGTTTCCCTCCTCCCACCTGCATTTGCACCTAGCAAAATAATCACTTCATAATGAAAACGTTCCCATGAATTTACAGTCTAGAACTCGCCTCAGAGGCACGTCCTGCATCATCTGATGTTCTATTCTTCCTTGGATATGAGAGTCTTGTCCGCAAGCATGGACGACGGCTCTAATGTTGTAGTTAAACAATACATAAGGCAGCGTTCACGGAAGCCTCGCGACAGCAGCGTCGGCGGTCTGCCTGCGACCGCCCTACATTTGCGAAGCCACTAACCCTGCCTAAAGGAAAGGCGCCCCACTCGTGTCGGAACCACGGTTGGGCTGTTTCATTTTTAACTGCTACCTAATGGCCGGTTATTCCGCTAGTGAGTGTCGCCTTTTTGGTGGGGAGGTGATAAGGAGAAATGACACCAACAAGTGAGAACTCGTCCTACAAACACGGCTCGACGTGGTGCATTAAATGAGCCACTTCGAGCAGGTTTTAGTTTTTTTCATCTCTTTTTTGGCATTTAACCATCTTGTCATTTATGACTGAGCCGCACATTTCAGTATTTTTTGACACCGACGGACTTTTGAAGAAGAATTCACACTTGCCTGATAAGGATTTCGCCTAGATTTCCCGTGTTGTTCCCGTCAATATATTCTTCTGCATTGGCCAATTGCAAGTTCATGTATCCGTCAACAGCCCACAAGAATCCCTTAAGATAAGATCTTCAGTGGAGAATTTAGACATTGTCGTCTCAACAAGTCCGTAACTTGTGAAAAGAAAGCAAAACAAGCCCTCTTTTTCCGAATGCTCACCTTTATACTCCATACCCCATTTTAACTTGCATACAATGGGTTTTCCAGTGAGACTATTGAGGAACGGTTTTGGATTGACAGGCTGGAGTGTCGACATAACTAGTAGGCCTTAAAGAAACAATCTCAGCTTGATCGCATTGAAAATGTAAAAATACGCACAAAATACACGAGTATGCAAACGAATTGAGCGTTAGAAGAGACAAAAATCAGCCATTCGAATTGTAACATTAAAACATCACTACCAACTAAACACTGACAGAAACAATTGGCTCAAGGAACCAGGGAAAACCTGGTCCAGAAAACAGGCACCTGGAAGTTTTAAAAGACGGGGAGTGAAGTGAGAACAAGTGAATCGAGACTAATATACACAACTTCAAGCGCTTTAATAACAACCTTTTTCAAAAAACGTTAGAATGAAGAACTACTAAACAAAACGTGAAAAGCACCGACCACACCCGGCTTTTTCGAATCGTGCTTGAAAAGCCCGCGATAGGCACGCGACATTGCACAATTGTAGCAGTACCGTAACCCGATATTAACACCTTGATGCGTTTTTCTGGTGCGCAGTCGCAGAAAACGTGTCCAACGAGCTGCCATTCATGAAGAATGCTCAGGTGCATTCAGTGTTTATCAGAGTTACAGATATGCATAGGTTACAAGGCACGTCGTGCATTGGGATCCCGAGGAGAGGGGTATTTTCCTCTGTTGTATTTATCTCTGAGGAGGTTTTTTTGGTTGTCGGCTTTTCTTGACGTCAGTTTTCTGTGCGGAAAGTGGAGAATTCTTAAAAAATTTCCCGGAAAGTGATAGGAAGTTGGGAATACCAAGGAGGTGGTAGGCTTTTGAGGAACTGGGAAGGAGGTCGTGACAGAGGAGGAAATTCCGAGGGGGAGTCGTAATTTCCGACGTGGCCTAGCTTTTCCTGTTAAGCGTATTAAAGCAAAAGGAGAAAGAAAAGAACACCTAGACAGCCTTGATCCTTTTGTCGATGGACCAGATGGGACCTGCACATGACCGCCGACATGTCGCTAGAACGGAAGGAAAGTTCACCGCACCAGAAAATCTTCGATAGAAAAGCTTTCACGGTCGATGAATCCCTTTGAGATGCTGCACGCATTCTACTTCCATTCACAATCGTAGGACTTTTTAATGTGAACTGGCCTATTCTCTGAACAACTGGCAGTTAGTGTATAATAGTCATGCTTTTATCCTCCCAGGCAAACCACCAATCAGGTATCCCCACATGGAAAGACTCGAGTGGGAGCCGATCTGGGATTTCTTCAGACTGCCACGTGGTAGGCAGCGCTACCTGCTGCTACGTTACCTGCTCTCTATAACTATTAAAGGCATCTGGTACGAGAAATTCTCAAATTTAGACGAGCAGGAATTAAATTATGCCTAAGCCGGACAGATTTCGGCAGTCCCCTTGAGCAGGCGCTACGTTCGTAGCCCACCCAATGGAAGGTACTTTAGCGTTCTGCTGAAGCTGCAACAATAACCGACCGAACGCCCAGCTGCGCCCGCCGCCCACAAATGTTCTTCCGTATGCAATTCATTTGCGAAACACAACTATGCAGCGACAGGCGAACTGATTTCCAGGCCGAGTACCTTATCGCTACCTTATGCCTCTCAAAATATTTTATTTACTTTACATTGTATTGTATCTTAGCTACTGCTCCTATTGCTGATTTAGAGGAGAATAAGTGAGCGAAAACGGATGAAAATGCCATTTAAAAGTTTTTTCCTGCTACTACAACATTTTGCTGTTTCAAAAGGTTTCGTCTACTACGCACTAGCAGTTTTATTCAAATTAATTTTAACGTAGTCAATAGATCAAAAGCTTTTTCGCATTATTTCAATATGTTGTAGATTTTCTACATAGCTGGACTGTCCGACGATGATGTCCGTGGAGGAGGAACCTGAGTTGAAAATTGTGATAAGAAAATTGATGAGAAAAATTGTGGCTTCTGGAGGAGGGGAGGGGGAGGGTAATGCGATGAGAACAGATCGTGCGCGCTCTAGTCGTCTGGGCTCTCTTGAGGCTCAGTCTGTTGAAAGAAGAAAGCCCTCAATCTGGGGTAAAGGGCGAGAACGAGCAGCAGTTAGTCAGCCCGCATGCCCCGACACTCACTCTCACTTAAGTAGCGAATACCGATGCCTGGAATAGTTTCTAGTGCTCGTACCTTAACGATGAGACTAGTCTGCAAATCTTCGTAGTAGTCGTGCTGGACGGTTTTTTCATTGAAATGTCGGGAGGCGTGTACTCTTCGTTGTCCTTTCACAGTCGCATCGCGCTTTGCCTGAACATTTTGGGTTCGGTGGTTGAGAATAAAGCCTAGAGTGATTTCCAAGGCACTCATGAGTGCGTGAATACTCGCGCAGAACAGGGCTGGTATCAGATTCACGGTACGCTGACTGATCCTCCTGCGGTGGGGGGAGGTCGCGCAAGGAGGCTGCTTCGCAGGAGAGATGCTTTCGGGTGTACACATATAGCCTCCTTCGCGCTTCAACGGCAGTTTTTTTGTTTTGCGAAAAAAACTCTTGATAACGTACTAGGAAGTTGGGAAAAATCCAGGAAATGGTTAGTAGGACTGGGGTATGTTTTAAGAGGTATCTTATTCAGAGGGTTAAGTTTTGAGTGTTACTTCGTAGATATGGTAGACCCCTTCCTCGGTAGCGCAGTTAGAGGAATGCGCGCCAGCGAGGCCTGGTCGGTGGCAGAGCTGACTCCTCCCATACCATCAACGTGGAATGAGTCTTCAAGATACAGCGGAAAACTTTCAAAATTACTTTTGTACATGGAAACTGACTTATCAGCTTTAGGTTCCCGATAGACTGGCTTCGGATCCTTTTCCTTCAGAGCAGCGATGCCTTTTTCGCACCACGGCTTTGTCTCCGGTGGGAGTGGCAGATCCTTCACCTCTGCCGATGGTCCAACAGCAGCCTGAATATTCGAGTGAAGAGAGCAATTTGGGTGCAGTTTGGCTTGGTGGGTGCACCAAACTGTACACATGGTCAGCAAAACCTGTAAAAACACACCTTGTAAAGGGGTGTGAAGTTCCGTGATCAGGGTGGATCACTTGCACCACCGTTTTGTAGCTTCACAAGAGTTTACAGGCTAAGACCCGCAGGACAAAATGTACTAGCATGAAAGCAAGCTTCCTTCCATTCCCACCCTTTTTCTGCCATGTATGTCGCCGAAAGCGTCGAAATATTCCTCAGAGTGTGCAGTCCATACTGATCTATGTAGCTCGGCTCACGGAAGCGCCTTCCTCCGTTTGTCAGAAGACGAATGCACCAGTTAAGCGAGCCAGAGGTGGTTCTTATTCTCCGCATACCTGTGCCCTCTCCATATGATTGTGGATTCTATCTGGTCCAATCGAATTCATCGTGCATTGTAAATATTTTTAGAGGCATAGCAAAAATAATAATGAGAACACTCACTGCTATCTTTTGCCGAAGCATATTACGGAGCATATCATTCCCAGGGGACTCTACTAATAGGCGGCAACCTGTCAGCCATTGTTTTACCCATCGAGTTTTAAATCATTGAAGAAGTCATCTGCAAAAAGCCCCACATCCCTGACGTTGTCCAAAATTACCTGTACCGCTGTTGATGACTGTTCGGATTCCCACTTTACTCCATATCCTAATTCAGGAGGCAAGGCGTGCCGTCACTATGCGAATTTGAACAATGGCGTACGTGAGAGTGTCCGGCGTTTTATCCTCATGGGTAAGCCGTCTCATTTCACAATCTGTAATCCCACACCTTGACAAATTAAGAACAAAGACGTGATGCGCCAGAACTGCCAAGTGGCCCAAGCCGCCGTCACGTTCGAAAGAATGCCGTCGGCCACGCCCTCTCAGCATTGTGGAATTATGGAGCTGTATTTCGCTGCTGCAGGCCCTACAAGAATGCAAAGGAGAGCAGGTTTCGGCTGAAAGTGAAACAGTGGTCAGGAGCGTCCATCGTTGGCTGCACTGTCGCCAGAAATCTAGTGTCATGGGAGGCGGCTAATTTTCGCGTACAGGCGAACACTGCCGGCGCCCGTTCACCCTCTTGAGAGTTGCCTCTTGGCGGAGTCACCGCAATATGATCTCTGAGCGATACCCATCGCGCAACCGCGGCAACGGTTGACTCTACGTTATTGGATCAAGGCATCGCTCAGGTTGGCGCGTTCAGATTGGTAGGGGCATTTTGCTGGATCCCATTAGCCGCTGTTGATCCCTCTTGGGAACACCTGCCAGTTCATGTGGAGCTAGATTTTTGAAGGAGCTTTGTTTACACTTGACAAGAGTCTAGAGAAGCCTTTCCAAACAAGCGTTCGGTATCTTGAACATGAATAGCCAAAAGAACACTAGCCGAAAAAAGTCCGCTTCCAAGCCGAACAACCCCTCGATTCGTGCATTTTCTTAGCTGCTAGGCAGTCTGTCTCCAGCACTTGTACTGTACAACGTGAATCTGCTAACTGAAAGACATGCCGATAGCCCCGCGATTTCTGGAACACGCTTGCGATATACCTAGGAGGCCTGCCGTCAGCAATGTACTTTTGATCATACCATCCCACTTTCAATGTAACTACGCCATCTTACTAGTTGTGAGTTTCAACACGGAAAGGGGATCATGGGAATTGAAAAGTGATGACTCTGCCTTAAGAGTAACCGATTACCTGTGGTATTGATGTAACTAGTTCTCCATCTACATCTATAATACACTCTCCAATGAGTAATGACATGGCAGCTATACTATCCGGCATAAGATTGGCTACATATATCTGCAATTATAGGGACTTTACAGAACTCGGGCCACACCACACACAATCCACATGCTGATGGGGCTACAAGGGTATGGCCTGAGAGAGCAAGCAGGATCCAGGCGAGGGAGTGACAAATAGATTTGTTTAAGAGGGGTAGAGTGGACAAGGGAATATACAGCCGTCCTTTGGGCGCCCCCTCTGGCCCTAAAAATACGGGTACTATCGAAATAGTCGTCGTTTGGAGTCATGAGTTTTAGTTTAGGCCTACCCCCCCCCTCTCACTGTCCAGAAGTGAGGATAATAGATACTGAAGAGGCAGGGTTCGGAACCGGTACAATGTATGGTGTAGCAACTCAACGTATTCTAGTAAGCCACATTGCTAACCGCCTCCCCACCCACCCCTCCGCCGCTGGCCTTAGAGTGGTTTTGGCGGAATGGTCAGGCTGCGAAAACCCTATAGACTGCGCAAACTAACATATGACCCAAGCTTTATAAAAGTTGACATGCAACATGTACCAATCCAGTACAGGAAATGAGCTTTTTCCGAGGGAGATTCCATGAGAAAAGGAGGTCTTGGGATTATCATGCTTTGTTACCTTTTTGTCAATCATGCGCACATCCAATCCTAAAACCATACCACGCATCAGATAAAGCACCGTCCATTCATATTCGAAACCTTGAACGGGTTCGTACCCTTTTGGTAGGATCGGTTTTATAGTAGGCCGCCGTTTGAATCTGATCACAGTTACTGTAAACTGAAATGAATGCATAAAACTTCAAAACTTAAAACTGAACTGAAAGTTTCATTACATACAGTCACTCATTGGGACTTGGTTGGATCTGTCAGTGGGCTGATGTTTGACGCGGTTGTCACAGTCGTTTCTGCACCAGTTGTTGAAGCGGGCAAGTGACATTACTGTATTATATCCTTCGTATTACTCGTTTTCTACCACTTTTTGTCGCATACGCGTTTCAACAAAAAAGGCTGAGAACGGCTTCAACAGTGTGCACACTCATACTTGCTGACACGCAGGCGCCCAATGATTGGAGGGATTGTACCACTGCAAAAATGGGATAGACATAGCCACAGGGAATTGGCGCACTAATGGACTTGGGAGAGGGATTCGGCAAAACTAGATACACCGTGATGCGACCTGGCAGGACAAGGAAATTTGGGCTCAGTGACAAACTGTACATTTCGCCTCCGTGTATCCTGGTTGCCCTGTTTCGTGTGCTAGACTAGCTTCGCAGCTCAGAAAGCGTGCCACTTTCTCCGCCTAAAAGTGCGCGGAGAACGCGAGATGGGAGTAGGGATGCCCCCGAACGCCTACTTAGGTCCGCGCTGCCGCATGGCCAGCCACGGCTAACCATGGCCACCCACGCTACTTGTCTGCGCCCTGCCACCTCTACTTGTTCCCTACTGTTGAGTGTGTATCTCGCTGCAGGACCTTGGTATCGACGCAGGATGCACTTTGAGGATAGAGCGGATGTAGTACGGAGACGACATTCGGGAAGCGCTACCCTACAGCCCCGTTTGAGCGCACTTTTGAGCGGAGGAAGTGGCGCGCGACGGCAGCTGCAGACCCATATTCCACACACACGGCTAGGACCAAAGTTCGCTGAGTAAAGTGTGCAGTTCGTCTTCCCTATTTCAAGTTCGGCAACGGGGGGGGGGGCATTTTGCACTTTTGCTACTTCCCATCGACGTGTCGACCCATCTAGAGAGCCTTTTCGTGAGTTGACAGGTTTCACCATTGTGGCTCGATGAGCTTGCTCCAGCTTCACAGGAGTTCACAGGTTTCATCAGGTAAAGTATGCAAACCGGAACTAGTGGAGCAATGAAAGTGCAAAATGCCCCCCCCGTCGCCGAACTGCGCCTGGAACTCCTTTTCCTAAGCCCGCCGTTTCGGGCGAACTTCAGCAGGTCAGCATTAAGCGAACAGTAGAACAGGCAGCAAAGTTCGACATACTTTTCCTCCGGTTTGATTAAGTCTTGCCATCATATCCTTATTTTTGCTAGCTTCCTCCGAGAACATTTCTTTATTAATCGTGTACAGAATATCTCCAGATTGGAGTATTCCGAGACAGGGACTGTCCCATTTTAAGCCAACTACAGTATCCTTTTTAATGATCAGACCAAGCTGAAATGCAGCGTTCAATGTGGTCAAGGGGACAAAGACAGTTAAGGGGAGGGCATTCAGCGACACGACAACACCACGCTGTTTGTGCTCATCTGCCTCTCTCTTTGATAGGGTCTGTAATAATACTCAAGAGGGAGTTTTGGGCGGAAATTCGGTTGCGAACAATATATGCATCCATATCGTGTAGATGCGGTGGGCGTGACCGCGTACTTCCTTTGATCGCTACGCCGGCTACGCTTCCGGTGGTATAACGCAGTCTTGAGAAGTTGCAACCATGTCTTTGTCCAGCACAAGAGGAGTCATTTCCTCTGGTGGAAATATTCCACGGAAAACATATTGTACGTCATATCCAATAGAGACAAGCAGCTACGCCCTTCCAGCTCTCGGGATACGAAGTGACACTTCTCGCATTATCTCTGTGAGAGGAGCAGACGAGCACACATGAAGCGCCTGGGTAGCTGCACTGTGTGCCCCTCCATCTCTAACTGTCTTTGTCCCTTTCCGAGCATCTGGTATTGAGAGTACATCCCGCGATCAAGTTATTTACAAATACCCTACGTGGACAAGGCAATTCAGCTCGCAAGCACAGCGGATGTTCTATAGTCGTGGCTCGAAAACGAGTGCTAACGACGCGAGGTGTCTCTGACGAAGTTAATAACAATGACAATAACAAAGACGAGGGCACCTTACCACTACGCATGGGGTCTGACTTTTGCCCATAGCTCAGTGCTCTTGTGATAGCTTTGGAGCGCAGTAAGGCTGTGGCACAAAAGAAACTGAGCTGAGAGGTATGAGCGACCGTGGAGGCGTGATGGATAGTGCACTCGCCCGGTTAGAGGTGCGGGTTTGTGTCACGCATGGAGTCTGACTTTTGGGTAAAAGGCATCTGTCAACCGGACGATCTTTCGCTGCGCGAGCCCAGATGTTCTGATCGCATCTATTGGCCCAGCAGTTTAAATGAGATGGAAAAGGAAGACGGGAGAGAGAAGGAAGGAAGGGAAAGAAGGAAGGAGGAAGAAACAAGGATAAGGAGTAGGAAGGCTGCGTGGTGAACAGATATCCTAAGACCTACGAATCAACCCGACTTCTGCCATATTCTCTTCTTCTTCCCCTAGCGTTAGTCCCGCGCCGTCGCAGGGTCCGCTGTTCTTGTTAACGTCGCCACTTGTTCCGATCCACTGCATCTTCTGCCGTGGCTTTCACTTCAGTGAGGTCCTTCTTGATGACGTCCCTCCATCTTTTCTTTGGGGCTCCTCGTGGTCGCTTGCCTTCTACTTCGAATTCCAACGCCTCCTTACTGGGTGGCCTTCAGGCTTC